ATGTATATTTATAAAATATTCCATTACGGTAGATTAGCCAGCATAATTACCTACAATTTAAAAAAATATATATTTTCATCGTTTAGATCCTAAGCTACTTAACATTTTGCGCCTGTTAGCCGTAGTCGTACATTATTCAACATATTAACATAAAACAAAATCGTACCTGTGGGGTAAACCTTTAACTTTTCATTTTCGAGCGCGAGCTCCGCTCTTCAGCGCTTGTATTAGAAATATGCAACAGTAAATTTAAACAATTGTTTACTTAAAGTTAAAGGTTTTTTTATTTTTTTGCATTTTTAAGCATGTTTTTGAACTGTGATTACAATTTTTTTTATTTCACTAAAAAGTACATGTCAAAACGAAAAAAATGATTACCGACAGAACTCTGTACGATAATTTTTTTAAGTAGAATTTTTCTTTGAAAAAAAAGTGTTTCAGGCCGAAAAAAATCAATATCTCAGAAACTTCTTAATTTTTTATCTAAAAAAAGGTATACTTTTACAAAGTTTCGTCAAAATTAAATTATTTTTGTGGAAATGAGAAATAATAAACGAAAAATCAGAAAAAAATGTGTTTTTCGCATTTTTCTCGGAAATTTTGAGGTTATGTTAAAAAATGACCTCTACAAAAGTTGTAGATTTTTGCATGATCTACAACTTTTATAGTAGATACTTTTTTGTTTGACCTCAACTTTCGCCAGAAATCCCAATGATACAATTTTTCATAACTTTTCAACCCCCCAAATCAACCCTCCGCCGCCCCTGCTCACGCATTTATTTTTTTTAGATTTATTATAAGCCCTTTTACCATATCCACTTATAAAAGTCCAGGTAACAATTTTTTTTTCTCCAAGTGTAATTTGGTTGGACTAATACCTGAATATTGGTCATAAATTACCTACCACAGGAAATTGCTAAACAGATAAGTATAACAAAAACTATAAATATGTTCATTGTAAAAGTGTTTAATAAACATTATAACAGAAACAAAGCACCTAATGTAATTTAAATAAAGAATATCCGAAATGACAGAAGTACTTAGTTCGAAATAGGCACTGAAGATGAGAGATTTTTTCTTTTAAAGTGCCTCATACAAATTAATTAAGACTTCAAATCCGGTGAACGTGGATACCTATTAATGAATCCATTACCCAATTGCCTAGCAACTATTTGTCTGGGTGTTAATCGTCCAATCCATATTATTTCTGCATAATTATCATCAATTTGTTCCTTGACTTGCCATCCAAAATGGGAAGAGACTCCATCAAGTTGTAGCCACATTTCTTGTCTAATACATATTTAGAGGTACGTCTTCTAAATTATCAGCAAAATCAATTTGCAAGAAATTTAGTCGTTGAGGGAAGAAACTAAGTACACGCAAAATGTCATACCAATTACTATTTAGGAAAAATTGTGTTGGAAAAACAATGGATGTACTACATTTTCATGAGCCTATACATATAGGCAAATTGTGTGAAGTTTACAATTTACAAAATTCATTCAGGAAATCAAGATCTATGTCAGTGGTGTCTAAAATGTACTGACTCCACTGACAGAAACCCACTAAACACGAAACGTAAATGAAACGTTGCAAATGAGATGTTTTACTAAACATTTGAAACATTAACTAGAAACGTTTCTGTTTCATTACAGAAATGTAGCACTTGAAAACTTATTTAGTGAAACATAGCCGAAACGGTACAATTGAAGAGAGTTTGAAACATTACTCGAAACATTCCCTTTCGATCTCGGAAACATAACAGACGAACAACCCTTTGCTATTTTTGCTTATCTTATGGAACATTCAGCATTAGTTAAATTTTGCTCTCAATCCCAATCCTTCTCAAGCGTTAGTTCATTTGCCTTTGTTATACAAAGACATAATTAGAAAAAAAATGTGGTAGCATATTTATAACACAAGTCTAGAAAAAATGTATGTTCGTGACTTGCGTAGACTGCGCGTAACAGCCCGAGTTTATTTGTTTCCCGTGTGTCGTTTCAATTCGTATTATGTTAGGTTAGGTTTGCGGTTTGTCAGTTTGCTTGGTTTCGTTGTTATTCATCTTTACTTTGACGCTATTTTATGTGATAATTTGTAGTGTGTGCAGTTGTGGTTATTGTAAGGTGCATATAAAATAATGAATATTGATGCAAAATGTTTAAAACGATATGTGTAGAGATTTCCAATTTTGCGTCACATCTACCTAAATATAGTTATACCCACTACCTATTACAGACAAGAGGACAAGGGACAAGAACTAAGAAAATGGAACAACTACTATACGTTTCGATATAATTTGAAGAGCAACTACTTAGTCAGTGAGAACTATTTGAAATATGGATGAATCAAGTGAAATAGACGTCATTTATTTTATATTTTGTACAAATGTTTATATTTGTTTATGTGTATAGGCATGCTTAAATAAAAGAGTTTAGGTATACCTACAGATATTTACTTTGTCAAGATATCATTTTGTATCCTTATTTCTGCTGTATAATTTATTATTATTAAAAGGATATATGTAATATTGACCATGCGTAGAAGAAATTATAACTTTATATTATTTTTCAGTAATGTTATTTGTTTTTCATGTACCTACCATTTTAAGATTCATAATCATAACTAACTTTTTCTAATTATCAGTTCGTCATTGTTACCATATTCATGAAGGTCTCAACATTAGAAAATTTCCATTTCAGAAGCGTATTTGAACTATATAAAATGTGTAGCTTTTTTTTAATGCTTCTGATATTGTTTTGTGATATTTTTATTTGTACGATGAATGGCAAAATTCATAATCCATATTAGAAACTTTTTTCAGTGGCTTCTCAAAAAGAAAGAAATTCTTAGTAAAAGTTGCCGCATCCCCAAACTAGAAGAGCATATTTATTTTTTTTAATATACAATGTAACTTTTTTTAGTTCGAATTAAGTCATTCACAATACAAATAAAAATATCACAAAGGAGTATTAGAGATATTTAAAAAAATACTCACACTATTTATACTATTTCAAAAACGCTTTTGAAATGAAAATGATCTAAAGTTGAGAGCATTATGAGAACAATATGGTAATAAAATTATTATGTTACTCAAACATTTCTGAAAATATACTGAAACGTAAAACAAAAATATCGAGGGCATAAATGGAACATAAAAAGAATGTTACTGAAACCAATTTTTTGAAACGTTTCATTGGAAACGTATTTTGGGGAGGACATCTTGGGCTTCTAGAACGTTACCAGAACGTTGCATGGATTTTTTATGAAACGTTTCAAGAAAAATGGAAACGTTTCTGAAACATGTCAAAAACTGAAAAATGTTTAGTGGGAAACGTCATTAAATTTTTAACTGGTTGCTTTTAAATGTCTTTCGATGATCCTGATTTACTATCCTATAATGTTTATTATGACTCCGCAATAGTAGTAATGTTCTTTGGTTACTTATCTTACCTGCACCTGTATTGTATATTTCTAAATTTACTCCAATTACATACAACATAAACACCAACTCGTAACAAATTATTATATTTGGAAGATTATTAATAAAATAAGGAAATAGTAGCGGCCCCAAGTTGGAACTTTGGGGAACATACCACTATATTTTACTAAGAATATTCTGTTTTGTAAATAAGAATTAAGTAATTTTAATAAAACATATGTTATGCATAGCCATAATTTTTTTAGTAGTATGCCATAGTCCACTTTATAGAATGTTTTTTTTTTGAAAATCAGTATAAATTGTCTACTTCTATATGTTGAACGTTTGCTTGCTAATTTTTGAACGTCCTGTATACTTTTCTGCAGTTTTTAAGATATCTGTATTCTGATAATGAAATATATACAGATCTTCAATAGGCACTTTCCATTTTATTTATTCTTTGCTGTCAGTAAAAGAGATAAAAAATTTTTAACACTATGTATTTCAGGAAAACTCCCGAGCACTTTAAGTTTATTATTGTAATTAATATATTATATTGTAATTAATACATTATACTATAATTAATATATAATATAATATTGAATTTGTTTTGTAGCCGTTTTAATTTTAATAAATAAAGTTGTGCAAACTTTGACTTTTACATTATTTCCTACTAGATATGTAGTGTGTCCCACGATTATGTAACTGAAGAGGAATAACTTTTTTATTTGTAATTTAAGAAGGAAATATCACTCTATTGAAATTCTTGATTCTCTTAAAAATATTACTATTTTCTTAATTTATACAGAGATAAATTTTTTGATTCTCATTTTTATAAAAAAGTTGAAAGTTCACATTTTTATAACCTACCTGGAATTACTAACAATATTTTTTAGCGATATTCCAAAAAATTTAGATACTTTGCTGGTGGTTACTTTTAAATTATTTAAAAAATTGGACACTGTATATAAATTCAACAATGTAGTAACATTTTTAAGAATTTGAAAACAACCGGAAATTTTTATAAAAAATTACATTCTCCCCGAAATTTACAAAAAAAAGAAAGAGTTTTTCGTTTTCAGGGCACTTTTCTGGGACACACTGTACATCAAAATGGGCCTAAATGTCGTCTTAGTCTTCAAGCCAGATGATTTATGTTACTAAGCAATTATGAGTTCAAACCGTATAGAATATACGGCCGTTGGAAATTTTTAGTAAACAAGAATTACAGCATCTGATGAACTGGTTATCTTGTTTTGTTTTTTGTGTACCCCCTCTCGTACAAAATTAAATCTGAATATAAACGACCCATCGGTCTGCATTTTTCAAAACGTCTTCAGCAATTGTATCGAAGTTGTTCATCATGAAAGTTGTTCTGCTTCTTGCTGCTCTTTGCGCCTTTGCTTACGCTCGGCCTGAATATACAACTAAATACGACAACATCGATTTGGACGAAATTCTCCGCAATGAGAGGCTTTTGAAATCCTATTTCCAGTGTCTTGAGGGAACCAAATCGTGTACCAAGGATGGACAGGAACTGAAGGGTAAGATTCAACTGCTTTACTTACTTTGCTCATTATATCATTTTTAGTAGATAACATTTTACATTTTGAAAAACATGTTTATACAGGGTGTCCGGATAATGGATAACCTTTTAACCGTGGATGGGAAACCCTAAGATCGTTCAGAAAATTTACTTTTGTATTAGTTCAAAATCCCTTCGTTTTTCAGTTATTTCGGTTTTTTTCGAAATTTCCGCCATTATCATCTTTCAGTTATTTTGAGTAATATTCTTGAATTGTGTTATTATCAGATGCTTATCAGAATTTTTAACTAGCAATAGTAGTTCTTGTTTAAAAAAATTTTAAACTTAAACTTTACGTTAGTCAGCGAAGATACAAACGAACGCTCCGAAGGGCATGCATTCATAAGAAGGTGCAGAGCCTGCATCAGGGAAGGCAGCAGACAATTTGAACATTTACTGTAATTTTTAAATAAAATTAAATAATAACTGAAAGATAATACTTCTCTTGTGACCGTAGTGACCAATAAAGTAACCTATGACGGAAATTTCGGAAAAACCGAAAATAACTAAAAAACGAAGGGACTTTGTACTAAGACAAAAGTCGATTTTCTGAACGACCTTAGGGTCCCCCATCCAGGGTTAAAAAGTTATCCATTATTTACCGGGCACCCGATATGTACCTACTTTTAGAGCTAGACTTAACAAGCCAATTTTTATTAACGTTTAAAAAGGCAATCTATTTACTGCAAAAAAGTTCGCTAAAATACACAAGCGTAGCTATATTAAATATTTTATATTATATCACATCCAAAAGTTCCAAGTTAAATGTGAATAGAAATATAAGTTCTATAATAAAGTCAAGTTTAATTAGATTACATTGCCTGTAAAAATTTATCAGTTGAAAATTAAAATCCACTTTTAACAGCAAATTAGCTACAAGTAGGTATATCTTTTCAATGTCAAATAAAGAGAAATTTCTAAAGATATTTGCCTACAAACAGAAAACAAAAAATTAGAAACCTTCATGTTCTAGATGTTCATCTGATTAATTATTTTTATCATTAAAAAAAAACAGTGAAATAAATACGTTTTTTTTAAAGTCTGTTCTTTTAGATAGCAAAATAACGATTTGATCGAAATTTTAATTTTATTCAAAAAAACAACTTCTTGATTTTGTTCCATTCGTTTCCGGATACCCTGTAGATTTTTAAATTCAATTCCATTAAAAACAAACTGATACACAGCAAGTTATTATTTTTCTGCACATACATTTTTTTTAGAATGTAGGGTAAAAAAACTATGATACTGCTGTTTTTATTAATGCAATAGACGGCCAATTAGGACGCGATTTTTTGACGTCAAAACAGCTAATTGGTATTAGCAGTCAACAGATCACGTATTCTCATTCAACATCCCTCAAAACGTCTTATCACGAAGTTTCGTCAAATTCGATACATCTTCAGGCAAGCACTCCATGATGTCCTAGTTGGCCGTGTATTGCGTTAATAAAAACAGCAGTATCACAGTTAGATAGAGTTTTTTTACCCTACATTCTAGAAAAAATATTTGAAACCGGTCAAAAAATAAAGAAGCTGCAGGCTTGTATCACAGTTAAGCGCTACACCCTGTATATGTGAAAATAAAGATTTTCTGAGAGCTAATACGATATGAAAGTGGCATTTTTCTCTCTTAAGCTGAAAATTCTGTCTTTGGTTTTTAAATTTAAAAAAAAATGTAAAATTTATGATTTCTTAATTAAAACATTAATCTAATTCGCATACATTTTTCTACACATCAATTAACTTAATTTCAAAGAAACATGTTTCTGACCTAAAAAATTTGAAAAGCTAAAATAAAGTGATTTTGCTTGACAGTATAAATTATAATTCTATATTTCATTTTTCATAAAATTGAACAAGAAACTATATACAGGGTGTCCCGAAATTAATGCAACAGTTGGTGCCAGATTCTTAAGACAAATTTAGGGGACCCGTATTTTTTATATCTCAAAACCCTGTTGTACGAGAATCACTAAATTTGGTGCACAGGAGTTTTATGACATGTGGAATCTGATGGTGCTACGCTTTTTGGCGGGGAACCCCCTTAAGACAATGTTTCGTGGGCCCCCTTGTCTTTGGAGCCAAAAAAATTTGGTCGCATATTTAAATTTCTTAAAAATTATTAGTCCGCTAGAAAGCCATTAAATTTAGAAACATTTTTGTCTCTTGATACTTTTTTTCGTAAAACGCAATGTTTTCGAGAAAAATGTCAAAATGTGATCGAATGCATATCGTGATTCGCCATTTTTCTCAAAAACATTGCGTTTTACGAAAAAATATCGAGGGACTAAAATGTTTCTAAAATCAATGGCTTTCTAGCTAACTAATAATTATTAAGAAATTCAAATTTGCGACCAAATTTTTTTGGTTCCAAAGACAAGGAGGCCCACGAAATAGTGTCTTAAGGGGTTCCCCACCAAAAAGCGTAGCACTACCAGATTCTACATGTTAGAAAATCCCTGTGTACCAAATTTAGTGATTCTCATACAACAGGGTTCTGAGATATAAAAAAGACTATTGTTAGGGGCAGATTTCAGGGGGCTGTAACTCCAAAAGAGGGGGCCACTTGGAAAAATGAAAAAGTACGGGTCCCCTAAATTTGTCTTAAGAATCTATGACCAAATTTTGTTGCATTAATTTCCAGACACCCTGTATGAGTGGAAAAATTATAACTCCAATTCCAGATGAAATACATTCTTTAGAAAAAAAAAATTATCGAACTTTTTCAGAACAATAATTTTCATTGAAAAAAGGAGAAAGTAATAGATTAGCAATTTTTACATAAAGCTATTCATGCGTGCATGAAAAAGATTCTAAGTGTTTGTTATGTGTAGAAAAAAAATGAAATTCTCTAAATATCAAGACTCCTTGCTGAAATCGGAACTTCCCAAAGTTAGTTGAAAACCAAACAGATATTGGTTACAAAATATTAATTTGAAATAAAAATTGTAATTTGATTTGGAACATTAAGGAAATTGAAAAAAAACATCAATAATATCTAACGGATGTACAAAAATACGGAGCCTTCATAAATGATTACATGCCACGTGACCAGTAATTTTGTTTAAACAGTAATTTTATTTTCTTCGCGTTGGCGATTAAATTTCAGTAAAATTAAAAATATTAAAACAATAAGATCAATAATACATCATTGAAACACAACAATCTGTTTCAGCGGCTGGAGATTAGTGCAATTTTTCCTAAGATTTTATTCAACCAATCAGCGATCACATTATCTCGAGCGTTGACGTAACGAATTGTCATTGTTGATTGTTAATCAATGATTAATATTACCAAGATTTAGGGATCTTTCATTACCAGTACTAGCTCTGCAATGTTGTGTTGCCTAAGTTTAACGGTCATGTGGCTTGTACCTGCTTTTCCTACTTCAATGTTGGAAACTACCATTTTATCACTTTTTGAGAAGAGAAGATAACACTTTGTTAATACCTAAATAAGTAAAATACCCTAATTGATTTATTTGTGAAAATGACAAATGGAATTAAACAATACGCAGTATATTTTTCTAAACGACTAAATTTTCTATTCTTAGATGTAATTTTGTGTTTTATTATTTTTAAAATAAGTCATCGTTTTAACATTCTTTCATAAGATAATGTTTCAATTTTAACTGATTCAGTTGAAATAAATAGAGCACTAGGTGGAAAATTAAAAGATCTAATGTCTTATGAACAGCGTTTTGTTTTAGCTGTGGTTTCCTGATCATGATTTCAAACTGGACACTGAAATTGGTTAATTGATTATGTTATTTGACCACGATTCAGTCATATTGTAAAAGAGGAAACTACAAATCGTACATAAAGCATACTATGTTATAGTCATAAAGGAAAAATATTATTATCTATGACTACATTAACTGTAAAACATAACTCATCTGTTATGCATAAATATACACCACAAACTGGTAATCACTAACTTAAAAAAGTTATATGCAACACAACAATGTTTTACAACATTTGTTTGTCTTTCCTAAACTATCCAGCTTGCCTTGGCTTTGTTGTGGTTTATATAATCTAGAATCGCTCGATAAAGGTTTCCTGTCTATTACCAGGTAACTGAATGAATTTTTAAATATTAAATTAAATATGACAAGTCCGGAAATATTCTTGTCAAATATCATTGACATAAAGGTCTTGTCAAACTGTTTTTCTCATTTTACTGAAGATTAAACACTTCAGCTTCGCTGTCGAAGTTTATTCAAGTAAAAAATACATAAAGATTACACTCGTGATTTGTCAAGAAAAGCAGAATTTCTTCTGACAAAACTGTAATCTATTTTGATAATACGTATGATAAAACTTCTATAGATTTGTAATAATATCGTTATTGATAAAAATGATGACATTTGTTGTTCAAGTAATTTTATTTCGACGGTGAAAGCGAGTGTGTAGTGACAAAGTGTAGGATTAGAGCATGAGCTACATTTTGTAACCGCAACATATACAGGGTCGGAAAGTCCCCATGGTTCATCGGCCGTTACGTGAGAGCGATAAAGAATGTCATAGAAATCCGTGCGATAGAGAAAGATGGCTATAATGAAGGAGTCTAATAGTCTCCGCCCAAGAAGTGGATCTTATTTGTGGAAGGGCGAAATGGGCGGTGACTATTAGACGCCTCCATTATGGCCATCTTTCTCTATCGCACGGATTTCTATAACTTACTTTATCGCTCTCACGTAACGGCCGATGAACCATGGGGACTTTCCGACCCTGTAGATAAACGTCCAAACAAAAATTTCAAACAAAATTGCAACCAATACAAAGCAGAGAATATATAAATAATAGAATAGTCCATAATTAAATACATCTTTATGTAAATATGTAATTGTGTTTTAATGTATTTAAAGGAAGCATATTAAGGGTTTTATCTACTTTCGCTTTCTTTAGTTCCCATCACTCAATATTTATTTTTTTCTGATGATAAAACAATACAAGTGAACAGGAAATTATAGAAAATAAGTATAAAGCAGTATATCTCTATCTCTCTTGTTGATTAGATTTTCCAAGTTATGTATAAACCTGGAAAATCTCATCAACTAGAGAGATAGTCAAACTGAGCCATTGCCCCAAACACTGCTTATCCTTTATTGCGAAACGGTGCCTTGAAATAAATTCATCTCGACTTCTAGGCATTCATCATCCTGTCTTTTTTCTGCAATGAAAAATGATACCAATACTTAAATAATTACATTATATTAAAAACGCCGGAAGCAAGCATATTATAAACATCACAGCCATCAGCATAACAAAATTAAAATTGTTGATTTAAATTTAACGTAAATCAAGTACGACAAGTGTTACAGGGCTCCAAGTGATTGCGCAGAAAAATTTGTTTAGCGAAAAGCCATGTGCCTCATTCTCAATATTTTTCCTTTCTTTCTCTTACGTTAACCTATTTCTAAGTTTACAGTTGTAAAAAAAAAATTGGTTAACATTGTTATTGAACGCACTAATTAACCACACATCGAAAAATTTGCTCTAACTGTTATTGGTAACCATTTTCAGACATTCTTCCTGATGCCCTCAAAACGAAATGTTCCCAGTGCAATGAAAATCAAAAGCGCGGCGCAGAGAAGGTGATCCGTCACTTAATCGATAACAAGCCAGATTGGTGGAAGAAACTCGAAGCCATCTACGATCCAGAGGGCTCTTACAGAAAAGCATACCAGGAAGAAGCTGAAAAGAAGGGTATTCAACTACCAAAGTAGATTTGAGAACCTTTTATTTTAAAATTTGTCGACAAATAAAATTATCTCTTGAAAATAAATGTATGTGTATTATTTTGCGACATGTTTTTAATCTTGTCCAGACAATTTTCAGTATTAGTAGGACTTACATGTTATTTCAATAATCACGTTTAATACACCCGATAATATTAAAATGACTGCTCATAAACGAAAAAAAAAAAATTACTGTTTTTCTTATTTATCTATGAAAATGCAAGGTTGAAATCTATCTGTTCATATTGCAAAGGAAAAAATTTAAGAAAAATCTTTACTTAAAAACTATAATTATTAAAAAACTATGTGGTGAGGTATACTAATAGTGTCAGTCCAGTCCATCATAAAAAAAATGTTACTAGAATTTTTATCAAAGATCTTGGCTTACCCCCCTTAAATTCTCCATGGTTTAGTATATATATACATATCAGTAGTATACGGAGGACTCAGTCGTTTTCCCAAATTTCTTTACCTCTGGGAAAATAGGGTCTATCTTATAATAGGATATCTTCATAAAGATCTGCATAGATTTTCATTTAGGTCCCTAGAGAATCATAAAGAAGTGTTAGTTGATTCTTCTCAGATACCTACCTTCAAGTTTCACATAAAATTTTCTCACTCCTTTCAGTTCAGATTAATATACAGAAATCCTCTTCTTTAGTTAGATTTTATCCTATTTATAACATCGTATGTGACCCTATAAATATATTTCATTGCAGCATGGCCTAGACCAGATTAATAAAGTTAATTACTCTTTTGTATCAAATTACAATAATTAATCATTCCTACTTTTGTATTATTTTAGTTAATCACACGTTGCAATTCTTATTTTTATTATTTTTTTATTTTTTCTTTTTATAATTTTGATCACTATTATATTCAATATTTTTGTCAAAAATCCAAGTATGCCAAATATACCTAGAATTATACCAGCAATATCTAGAAAATAACTAGTAATTAATAACACAGCACCACAAAAAAGTGGACCTCAAACCAGACAGAGCAGTGTATTTAATAGTACTTTGGCCCATTGAATCCAGATCTAAAGTCAGAATTCCAGGGTCAATTCGTGTTTTGACCCTAACATCAAAACGCGCATATAGAAAGAGGTTTTCAACATTTTAAACTGACCTGAGTACTCAGTGATAAGAAAAACATTCTAATTAATGGTCTCATTGTACCATAACCCCATAATTCTATAACCCCATAATCCCGATACCCTATAAACCCTTAACCCATCATATGGGCCAGTGTAGAACCGTTAAACTCTGTGGGAACATAAAAACTACTTGAATGTGGGTTGGCAGAGTTCGCTAACCCCATAACCCAATAACCTCATAAACCTGGGTGTGTGAGGTATAATCACGAAACTCTGAGGAATTGAGTCTATTGTTATCTCTTAACCCGGAGAATTCAAGCTTCTGTAGATCTATGATCTGGCACATACAGATTTGTGTTGTAATAGAATTGTTTGACACTGCGATAAGTCATCTTGAGCTTAGGTGAACAAAATGACTTAGGAGTTATGGAATTATGGTACAATGAGATCATGAATTTGAATGTTTCTCCAATCACTGATTACTCAAGTCAGTCTCAAATATCGAAAACCGCTTTCTAGAGTATCTTGATATCTAAACACTCATTATAGTCCAGGCGGTATCTGTATCGGGTTGGGTAAAACGGTATGATCGGAGATTTTTACTTTAACGGCTTCTAAATAACATCAGAAATGATAATTTTTCTATGCAAATAAAAAAAAACGTAGGCTTAATTTTTAATGCAATAAAGTATAAAAAAATAGCATAAAAATTCATTTTTTTCTTGGATTTATTATTATTTTATTAGAAATTATCATTTCTGATGTTATTTAGAAGCCGTTAAAGCAAAAATCTCCGATCATATGCGTTTTACCCAAGTATACTCTTTTTAAAACAGATACCGCCTGGTCTATTATTAAGAACACAGCTTTGGTAATTAAACTACTGAAATTAGTTTTCGGTTTTTTCAAAATATTTTGCATTAAATCTAATACAACAAAATCATTACATGAAAATATGGAAACCGAAATAAATAAATTGTATATTATTAAAACCATAAATAAAACTAGTTAAGTGTTTTCAATGAATTTAATTTTATAGCATTTTTATTATTATTTATTATTGAATGAATTTTTAATGTCTTGAGGAAATTGGTAGGTATTTAACGTAACATAAAGTAAAATTACTCCAACAAAGCAAAAAGCCGAAAATTACATGTGGTAGAGTTATATTTATTACCTACTAAATAAAATTTTATAACTTCATTTATTTAAAACTATTCAAACTCTTTAGGACTTTTCAAAATATCTATATGCTAATTTTACTAGTCTAGTTGTAGTAGTATAATTTTACCATGAATGTGAATTTTTTGTTTCTGATTTAAAAGGACTTTTCCAACAATAACTGTCACGTTGTTCAGTTAGTCCACCTGTATGAGACTTGACTTAAATATATTTAAATGATCTGTTATTCGTACGACGTTTAGTTTAATTGACTTCATTGGAAAAACTTGTTAGGCAATTATGCTAGTTAAATTAGAATTAGATTCAGTTAATTTTTTAATTATGCTTATTATACTTAGTTGTGGAGCTATTTTACATATATAAATTATTCATACGTCTCAAAAACCAGTGTGTAAATTATAATGGAAAAAGGAGTATGGATCATCGTCTACGATAATACAGAATTATACTTAGGATAAACATATTATTTTTTTAAATTATTAAACTTATTTATGCTTTAATTTTCTCATCACATCATTGACTATAGATACGTTTTTACAATAATATCAAAACATTTAAATAATAATTTATTAGTTTCTGTTCTGAACCTATAGTTTCCTTTAAAACACTGTAAAAAATAGTGAAATGTGTATCGTAGAACACTTCATATTTTAGTTATACGGGGTGACTGCTAAATAACGCGCCAAATTTTATAAACTTGTACCTCTATTACAGGGTACAATTTCGGTTGAATTAGAAGGTCCAGTAGCATGCAAATGTAATTACAAATACCACTTTTAAATAAATAAATAATTCACCAATAACTAAAATAAAAAATATATACATACATATATTTAGAATTCAGTAATTTTGCTGTAAAACATTTCAATCAATGCTGCATAATGCATTAATATTATCGGTTGTTAACGTTAGAAGTAATCATATGATGACATTAAATTATATATAGTGTTTTTAAAAGCATGGCAAACAAAACTTAAACGGAACCCCTGTATATAGTTATAAAAAATACTATTAGAACATGCCAAAGTCTAATGTGGCTATATCTTCCTTGTACCATTAGGAGTAGACATACAATTACAAAAGAAGAGTTCAAATTATGATATACAGAATATTCTTTTAAAAAATGTGTTTTGTTAATTATTATTTTTAATAATGCCCTGTTCAAAATACCTCGTCATTTTTATTGTAGAATCCAGTACTGCAAATTTTTAGCAACCACGCTGTAGATTAATACTAATAAAATACAGGGTGTTCCTTAATGATATGCGAATATTTAAGGTTGTGATTCTACATGGAAAATTAATGCTAGTTTGCTTTATAAACTATGGTCCAAAAATGTTCCGTTGCGAAAATACGGGGTGTTAAAAACCGCTTGAGATATTTCAGTGATATTTAGTACGTAGTGATAGTTAATAAAGGCGCATGTTTTTCAATACAAACATAATTTTTAGCTCTAACAGTGGTGTGCGTACAAGCACTGACATTGATATTTTTAAAGAAAAAATGGTACGCCAATGGTTTATCCCAAATAAAATTATTTTTGAAATTCCTGTCCAATTCGAAAGATAATAATAGCTCTCTTGAGTTTTTGTCATGCGATGCGCTGTTTTTTGAGAAAAAAACTTACAGAATTATTAATAACTTAATAGCAAAAATTGAATTCATTACAGGTTGGCACCTGCGTATAATGAACAACAACAATTACACAACATACAACATTAACATGACATTACAACTAATATCAAACTATTATTTCACAAATTGTTGAAAATGGCCTTCTTCACTTAATATGCATGTAGAATCACAACCTTAAATATTCGCATATCATTAAGGAACACACATTTTCTCAAACATTTCTGAGGATGTTTGATGTAATCTAATGAAACTTAGTCTAATGATGTAGATAATTACTGGCAAATATTCACTGACCTGCCTTACAAATGTGACAACTGGAGCGAAGATAACAACATTTCTACGCTACTAAATATTTTAGAAAGAGCTTTCAATTCCACATGGTATTTGGAAAAAATACCTATTCCATTTTCCTTAAGAAAGTCGTTTTAAAAGCTTATTTTAGAATAAGCTTGCCACATAGCTGAATAAATGGAAAATATTAATTCATTTACAAAATACGTATATGGGAGATTTTGTCGTAGAATGTCGAAAATATATCTCAAAATAATCAAAATGTACACACCAATGTTTTTATTTTATAATTAAGTTGTATTAGAACTATATTTCTAAAAAAAGTCCCCGTATGTCATTTTTGTAAAACAGGTCATTTTTAATGTATTCAATATGATGATCTTTGTTATAAAAAAAACACACTTCTGAAACAGTTCGACACTAGTAACTTTTTTATTTCAACACCTTAATCTCTTGTTCTATCACCTGGTGAAATTCTCGATTAAAATCTAGATCACCTTGTATCATCTAATAACTATGGCACTACTTAAGCTTATAGAGACTAGTAACATTTAAAAAATATAAATACAGAGCATTTTCGAAACCTATGTTATAGTTTTAAACATTATTTATATTAAAAAAGCCTTAATGAACCAAGCCATTGGTTTTTCAGATACAGGGTGTTGAAGTTTTGAAAAGATGTAAAGCTTATATTAGAAAATATCTGAAGGTATTTGATTTGACTAATGAAGCTTAGTCTAATCATATAATTAATTCAAGAAAACAAAATCGAAATTTGTCAACCTGGAAAAGTTATTTTTTTAACTTTTTGGATATATTGTCACTCGAAAAAATTTAAAAACTTTTTATGAAAATAGTTTTGCCTAATCAAAACACTAACAAAAGCAGACAATTACAAAATACAAAAACTCATCACTTTATAGCGCACTTAGTTGTTAACGCTTCGAAAATCTATTTATTTTCGCCTTTTGAATATTTTTTGACTTTTCGTTTTAGTTACTTTGACAGTCTAAATTTGTTTGTTTTGTGTGATTTCATAGTTAGAGATATCATATAATGTTTATTCTATTATTACTTATTTCAACTTTTAGAATATGTAGCCTGCAAGAATCCAAGTTCATAGAATAACTTGACCCAGTTATTTTGATTGCAAATATTTTATCTAATAAAAAAGGTATGGCTATACTATTCGAAATCGAGTTACTTTTCAGTTATTATTTATTACTTTTTGATTCAAAATAAGCTTATCACGCAGATGGATAAATTTAAAATATCTCTAAATCTATTGATAAAAAAAATTACTTATCAAATTATCGGGAGTTTGGTGTATACAAGTTAAAATACAAAGTAACCGTCGAAAGCCCAAAAAAAGTAATTGCCGAAGAAATTTAAATTTTTTTGGGAGTTGTAAACCTTTGTAAAAGTTTCCGTCTGAAACATCCCAAACATCCTTTATTGTGCTTTTATTACAGAAACATATATTTTCTTTGTGAAATTTAGATTTATATAATTGTGAAATTATTTTACTTTAAAATTTAAAAAATGTAGAAACATTAGATTTTTCTAAAAACAAAGTGGTAAAAATCTGTTTTAAGAACATTGGTAATTAAATCCACTAGTTCAATTTACTTATTTTGAAACAGGCGGATGAGTTTGCATACAAATTTCGTGGGTTTTTACCCGTAATTAATCATATTAGCTGAAGATTCATCGATCTAAATCAAACATCTTCAAAAATATTTACGTAAACAATAAATTATATTTTTTTAACTTCAATAATCTGTATTTCGAAAATCAGTGCTCTTACACCTTTAGTTCAACAAAGCTTTTTGATCTAAAATAACCAAAAAACCAACCTCTTGAAGTTATGGCGTAGACATAGAAAACACTTATATATTTTTAGCGTTATAATGGAAAAATTTATTGTGGTTTAGGAAAATAAGAAATCATACCAAATGAGAAAAACCACAAGGAGCTAAGTAGAAAAAAATAAGTTAAACTTTCAATCACTGAAACCACATTGATACACAAAAAATTTCCATTTTTAAATATTCCTCACTGTCACCGACTGTGCTACGCAAGAGGACATTCTAGGAAATTGTGTATGAACGTATGAACTGATGACAAACTTGCAAGCATATGTCTACAAAACGTAAATTTTCTGTCCTTGTGCACTTTTTATGAACACACGCAAGAATGAATAATTAGAAACAATTTATTACAAAGTGTAGGTATATTTAGTCACAAATAATAGCGAATATTAATTAATAATGCATCTTTAAGAAAAACTTTTTTTTACGAACTCGAATTACGACATTCGTGAATCGATGAACTTGGCTGCTCTTTTCACGGTGGTTTTTTATGCATCCCCTCTTTCAATTTTGCCCGTCGCGCGTGGATATAAATAATCAAACGGAATGCTTAGGAAGATATCCTCAATTTGAGCATTGAAGAAGTTTAGTGCAAAGATGAAACTAGTGGTTCTATTGCTTTTCGTGGCCCTTTGCGGCTTCGCTTACGCTCGTCCCGACGATAAATATACCACCAAATACGACAATATCGATTTGGACGAGATTTTGAAAAACGACAGGCTCCTAAGGGCCTACGTGGACTGCCTTTTGGGTACCAAGAAATGCACCAACGACGGCGAAGAACTGAAAAGTAAGTTCAACTGTGCTTCTACGTAAAGGTTTTACTATTAAGAATTAGGCACTTTCTAATAACACAAATATATTACTTTTTATTTCTGCCGTATTGAAAAAGGAAATAAACTTCAATAAATAATCAATTTATGTAATAAAATATCCAATTAAATAAGAAAAGTAATAAAAATGCTACAAATGTATAACTACAGGCTATGACAAATATGTATGCCTTTTGGATGACTGACGAATTTAATCAACATTACAGTTCTTACTAGGCATTTTCAATTTCTGGTTTGTTTATTTAAGTCGGCAAAAATAAAAAAGTTATAAGGGAGACATTCTGTATGTACTTTGTACTTTTTACTAAAATTGCCATATTATGGCAGTAATTCAAAATCTCCTTTCATTCGTGTTATAGAAATAATTTTTACATGGTGTTAATAGTATATTCTGCCATAATTTAAAGGTGAATTTCGTCACAAATTAATGTTAGTTATAAATATGAATACCGAATCGCTTCGCTTTCGAGAGACAGGGTGTTGTAATTTAAGGAGAATCATCACATTTATTTAAATATACAGAGTGTTACAAATTAGTAGGTCAAGCAGTTAACCACATATTCTTTGGACTAAGATAATGGGACTTTTCTTATGCCACTTTTCATTTCGGAGCCCCATTTTCAAAATAACCCTGTATTTTGAAAATGTCAAAATTAAAATTTGAAAAATGATTTTTATTGATAACTCCGGTGATTGTACAGATATTTATTTGAAATTTAGCACATATATTGATCTTAAGTTGGTACACTTTCTGTGCAATTTTTGTTTAAAATATCAAAGTGCGAACGGAGGGGAGGGTGGTTGCACTACCCATGGACCCTCTATTTTTTTTGAGAACGCCTATGCTTTCCAAATATTTTTTTTAGATAAAGTGACATTTTATTCTATTTTTTTTACTCTCGTAAGATTCGATTTACGAGATATTGTAAATGTCAAATGTTTTTGTGTCATTTTTTTAAATTTAAAAAAATAATAACTCAGCAGAATATTGTTTATCGAGTAAAATGAAAGATATCTCCTTTAATAGAAATATCAACTCAAATTGAATGTACCTATTTATCAAATTTCGAAAAAAATTCTAGACTTCTTAATGACCTTTCCCAGTAAATCCGTCACTGGTTAACAGATGTGTACCAACTCAGCTATAATTGCTTATAATTAATTATAATATTTAATAATTATATTGTTTTTATTATTTGTACATCCTGTATATCGAAAGCGAACGATTCTGGACACACGTTTATAGCAACTCTATTGATCTCTATGATTTGTGAGGTAAAGTTTACCATTAAAGTTTAACACATCATATCACGAACATCCTGTATGTTTTATAAATTAAAAAAAATGTATAATAGTATCTGTAAAAGATGAAACCTTCTTAGCAAAAATTTGGCAAAATTTTAAAGTATTACATACTACAGATGCAATGTAGATGTAAAATTTTTATCTTCAGAAACATTGCTAACGTGTGGATACATTTTTCTATTTTTTTTTTCAATATTAACTTCATCGTTGTCCTTACTTTAGGACTTCCTCATCTTATTTTTAATGTAAGTAATATTTCTACAAACACTAGAAAAGTCTACAACACAAAAATAATTTGCTGTACACAGGTGTCATGTTTTACCTAGATATAAAATTAAAATAATTATATGCCATTCTATGGTAGCAATTACTCTTGATAGACGTTACATGTAAGTTCGTAGTACTAATGACATTCATAACAGTACAGAGTTTAACTTTTTTAAGTAACACGAGGACAACTAATTGAAACTGGTATTGTATCTAATTATACATAACTTTTTTAAAAACGGAAATATGTCTGCTGGCAAATGATTACTGACAGCAAATTCTATGGTTCTTTCTAAATGGAATACATACATTTTCACACAATTCAGTAGTACGTAGTTTTATTTGAGCTAGCACTACATATTTGAACTGAACTTTTTACAGAATTTACAAATAATTTCCGTTATTTAATTTTATTAATAGATAACTGATTATATTACTAAAATTATTAAAACAGATCAAGATTACATTAAAACACAACATTCCGTGTCACCGATTGTGATTGGTGTAATTTTTCACGAGATACTATTCAGGCAATCAGCGGTCGCATTATCTCGAGCGTAGACGTAGCAGTTTGTCATTGTTCATTGTAAACGAATCATTAATATTGGTAAAGCCAGGAATTTTTGTTACCAATCGTGCAATGGTGGCTTGTAAACATTTATGAAGGATCTGTATTTGTTATTTAGTTTTTCACCAGATGTGATAAGATTGGACAGTTCTTTTAACTAAATTTCGATATTTTGCAGAGGTGTTGCCTGACGCCATCGAAAATGAATGTGCCAAATGCAGCGAAAAGCAAAAAGATGGTGCCAGAAAAGTTATCCACTATCTCATCAAAAATAAACGCGACTGGTGGACAGAATTGGAAGCCATTTACGACCCAGAAGGCAAATACAGGAAGAAATATGAGGAACAGGCTAAAAAGGAGGGGATCGACTTGTAAAGAATTATTAATTTGATGTGATATGCGATCAAAGATTTGTAATTATTAATGTTATATAGTAAATGTCTTGTTGAATATTCTGTTTTATTAAATATGTTTTATTTTGAAATTATTTTTTCTTTTCTGAGGTTAATGGTGCGCTTATAAGGTACAGCGTATGAGAAAGTTGCGCAAAGGAAGTTCATTGGTATGTCAAGTAGTAAAAACCTGACAAAAAGAAATATATTTATACAATTAACAATACATTACATTCATAAAATAAATACAGGCAGACTTCCTTAATATGCAAAATGGTTATCATAAAAAGGTAACGATGTAGAAGGAAAGTTAAATACTATCTCTGTCAGAAGTAGAATTATAGTTTCACTTTCAAAAAGGCTGAATGCGAAAATGAGATAGATGTACTGTTCACGAATTAAAAGTTCATACCATCACTGTAAGCGGTCTAAGAGAAAATTTATAACCACCAATAAAATTTTCCAATAATTGTAAGAACCATTGTTCCGAAAAAGGAAATGGATATAACGAACATTGCGATGCTTCAAAAATACCAATGCACCATATAGAAGAACAAGAGCTAGCTTATCCAACGACTCAAGGAATGAATTTGCGTTGGAACCGATTGAGAGTAGAGTTAATCTATTAGTGAAATGTAAATCTCAATTATGCTCAGACAAAAAACGGTGAATTCGTAACATTTATGAAGACTAGATATTACTATTTTTAAATCCAGTTAAGTAGGTATGAAGATAAAAGTTTCCATTCTATTTCCAATTTTGTCTTAATTTATTATTTTTCTTTCAATTTTGTCCCATTCCCCAACAAACATTCTAAAAGGACAACTCAACATTTTTTATATGTTGTGGCTATATCGAAACAAATAGTGAAACACCTTCACTTTCTCTGATAACCAAACAGAAAGTGTTAAGGGAAGCGTTTATATGCGCAACATTTTGTCCAGTATTTTAGAAAATATAAACAAGTTGGAAACAATGTCTCTTCACTGTGCCAGTTATATAAGTCTTCTTCAGGGCAAAGACAACTGACGCCTCAATCAAAATAAGGGAAAAAGAGTATATTTTTACCTTGTATGTTTTTCTTACGTTTCCTAAATTTTACACGCCTGTTTAACATTCAAAAATCGCGTACGGTATTATAAATATAATCACACACCCCAGAATGCTTTTAGGAAACTATTAACACATGCATTAATCGCAATTATTGAGTAGGTATCTTTACAAATTTGCTGGACAAAACAGGAAAGGTACATTTTCTGATCTGTACAAGTTCTACATGATCTTTCAATACGAAAAATTAAACGAAGTTGCTCTAATTTAGCGTTACGTTTCGTCACTTCCTGAATAATAGATTTTTTACTTAAATCCAAATCTAAATAAGAAAGAACATTTTTTTCTGCAGACATTACATTATACGGGGTGTTAGATACTTGACTGCCTTAATTTTAACAGACGATAGAATAGATTAAAATAAAGAAAAGAACCTTATATGACTAAACTCAACAATTTTCGAGAAAAAAATTATCAAAATCTTCAACTTGATGCACAAAAGTTCGATTAATTAATGAATATTGACATAACTGCGTGCATAGAATACTAAAAAAAATACAATGTTTATCACTTTTTTGAACTTCTTTACGCTTAATTCTAAAAACTAATTAACGTTGTAATAAATTTAAAATTCGATAAAATTCATGTCAAGCAATGTGACAACGGCGCGGCGGTTAACACAAGGTACTAAGCTGTCCAGCAGTATGCAGTTCAGTTGGTGTTGGTATCTCGAATTAGACCATGTCGGAGTGTTTTTTGCGTACCACTATTTCCTTTTCTTGAGGTGCTTTTCAGCAAGTGCGCGAAAATTGGATTCCAAGGTGTCATGCGCATCGAAAATGATGGTGGACATTTTGAGCATATGTTGTAGTTTGTTTTGTACTTGTGCGTTTAAAAATTACTGAATTTTGCTTTTTGGTATGTCTCGAAATTATTTTTAATACGTATGATTATTTGCACGACGTGAATCTTTGGGTACTATAATTACATACTTTTCGAATTCATAATTCGGTTAAAAGTCAAGTCAAGAATTACTAAAAATCCAACTAAAATTTAAGCACAACACTATCTTCGTACTACAAAATCGATACATTTTATTTCATTTATTTAAAAACTAGAAAACATATTGCCTTGAAATTTACTAAATGCTTCACAATAATAGTTGTTTGCATTTTTTCCATTTAGAACAAGTCTGCCGCGTGCACACGTGCTGTGCATCAGCGGTATAGCGCTGTTGTCACGTGATGAAACTCCTCAATATTAATACTCGCTATATTTTGAAAACTACACTAATGAAAAAAATTAAGGGATAAAAAAAAATCTAAATTTCCGGCGATTTTTCAAATGGCTGTATCTTTGATAAAAAGGTCGTATTGGAGTAAAAAAAAAGCAATTTGAAGCTTGAAGTTTATAATTTTTTCAAATAACACGTATCACGCCATCTTAATGAAATCATGAAAAAAAATTTTCGAAATTTCTTTCGATCTTATACATATTTGGAATTGAAAAATTTTTTTCCAACTTAACCACCTTATGGATTAGATAGGTTGTTCATTTAGCTTCAATTTCTTTGTTTTTGGTCTCGATACGACCATTTCTCGCTGAGCTATCGGACTTTGAATGAAAATGGATCATTTTCTCTTTGTTCATCGATATCTCAGAAACCAATGGTTGTACAGAAAATCGACGGTGGGTTTCAGAAACTTGAATGAATTCTCTACAAGGTCCTGATACGGTTTTTTAGAAAAAAAAATTTTTATCCTTAACATGACTGAAAAATCGTAAAAAATAAGACTTTTAGGGGTCTTCTAGAAAATCACGTACCACATTGAGAATATTGGGAAAATGACTAATGTTAAGTGTGCCTTTTACAGGTCATTGTACCCCTAAAAGCCCTACAGAGTTTCAATTCGATCCATCAAGCCGTTTTTTTGTTTCATTCGATTGAATCTTTTTTAAAATTAAAGGATCACGTTTTTTTGCCCTTAAATGCTCATAATATGTAAAAAAAAATGAAAAAAACTTTTTTTCCTGATTTTTTTTTACATTCTCATCGTAGAAAGCGTTAGAAATTATGAAAAAAAAATATTTAATTTTTGCGAAAAAAATTTTGTTTTAACCGATTTAACCAAAGCGAACCACGTGAGGGTTGCACGGTCGGATTTACGCTTCTTTTACACACATGCGAAAAGCGTTTGAAATTATGACAAAAAAAAATATATTCAAATTTTTTTTCTACTGAAAAAAAGGTGGTTTGAAAAAAACTTTGTTTTAGTGTTCTGTAAATTCGGAAAAAGCGTTTTATGAATTCAGAAGTATCGCAGCAATTATCTCTGAAAAGGGTGTAGATCGAGGTCAATATTCGGTAGGGGTATCAACTTTTTTTAATTTAATTAAAATTCGATCAGCATAATCACGAAATGAAGTAGGGGAATCGTGTCGAAAATGCTTGGGGATTACTGAGATAAATTTTCTGGAGTGAATCCAACGAAAAAATTAAAAAAAAAAAAATTTTAAAAAAAAAATTTTTTTTGTCAGAACTTCTAACGCTTTTTGCACGTGTGTGAAAGAAGCGTAAATCCGACCGTGCAACCTTCACGTGGTACGCTTTGTGTAACGAAATTTCTGAAAATCGGTTCAAAAAAATTTATTTTTTTTTTTCATAATTTCAAACGCTTTCTGCAATAAGAATGTAAACAAATCAGGAAAAAAAGGTTTTTTTCATTTTTTTTACAGATTATGAGCATTTAAACGCAAAAAACGTGATCCTTCAATTTTTAAAAAAATTCAATCGAATGAAACAAAAAAACGGTTTGATGGATCGAATTGAAACTCTGTAGGGCTTTTAGGGGTACAATGACCTGTAAAAGGCACACTTAACATTAGTCATTTTCCCAATATTCTCAATGTGGCACGTGATTTTCTAGAAGATCCCTAAAAGTCCTATTTTTTACGATTTTTCAGTCATGTTAAGGAAAAAAAAAATTCTAAAAAACCGTGCCAGGACCTTGTAGAGAATTAATTCAAGTTTCTGAAACCCACCGTCGATTTTTTGTGCAACTATTGGTTTTTGAAATATCGATGAACAAAGAGAAAATGATCTATTTTCATTCAAAGTGCGATAACTCAGCGAGAAATAGTCGTATCGAGACTAAAAAAAAAAGATATTGAAGCTAAATGAACAACCTATCTAATCCATAAGGTGGTTAAGTTGGAAAAAAAATTTCAAGTCCGTACACCAAAAATAAGATCGAAAAAAATTTCGAAAATTTTTTTTTCATGATATTCATTAAGATTGCGCGATACGTGTTACTTGAATTTTTTTTTTGCAAGATCCAAAAATTAGAAACTTTGAGCTTCAAATTTCTTTTTTTTTACTCCATTTGAAAAATCGCCGAAAATTTAGATTTTTTTTGATTCCTTAATTTTTTCCATTAGTATATTAATCTTACGCCCTTGTAATATATAACTTTTTTGTTCATTTATGATTATTCTATCTCATGCTGAAGTTATGACAGTCATATGTCTTACACCGTGTATACTAACATCAATCTTTCATTATTATTTTGAATTTGAACATAGAAAATATAAACAAATATCCTTCACAAAACACATTTTCATTCATTATTCGTATCATATTTATAACTAGCAATTACTTACCTTCGACGAATAATGATGAAAATAAACCACTAAAATTAACTCGATGTATATTGTTAAATTAATTCAATGGCTTCTAATAATTGGTTTTGTTAACCACTACTACTAATTACCAAAACAAAATTTTACGTTCTTGATGTTTATCCATCAATTTGAAATGGAGAATAGGTAATTGTTTCCTTCATTATTATACAGGGTGATTCACAACTTATCCAAAAATATGTGGGAATAGATGCGGCATGAGAAATGGAGTCAATATCGTAAAAAAAATTTTTGTAAAATCCTTATAGTTTCCGAGAAAAAAAAATATTGAAGTTATAGTACATTCAACCATTACATTACATACAACTG